GATGAGAGACTGGAGAAGTTTGAGAGCTGCTCTCAAAGGTCCTCTGTAGAGGAATGTGTTCTTGAACAGGCTCTGATATTTGATAAGCACAGTGATGACTTTCCTTGTGGTAAAGCTCCACTTGCAATGTCTGTTTATTACGTTCATGTTAAGAAGTGGTTTAGTCTCTTTCCAAGATCAAGCTTCTTTTTTATTGCTGCTGAAGACTTCTTTGCGTCTCCCCTTAAAGTTGGAGAGAAGGTTTGGGATTTTCTTGGAGTTTCGAAGCCACCAAAAGTTGAGAACTTGAATGGTTGGGTTAACAAAAGGCAAAACTCTCAAGTTAAATTTAATTATCGTCATGATGTTCACCTCCAAATGTTAACATGGACAAGAAATAGACTTAAAATATTCTTCAAACGTTTCAATAAAAAGCTAGTCCAGTTACTAAATGACAAGAATCACTCATGGAGCCACTCATGGCAAGAATAATAATTATTGTTTAAGATCCCATAGTAGAAGTGAAATTATTATTTCACTCTGTAAGTTTAATTTTTTTTTTAATTTTAAATATTTTAGATTTGAAGTGAGCTACTAACTAGATAGTATACCTAACAAAACTGGTATTTAATTTTTAAATCATCACCTTAAAATAGCATTGCCTGGGATCACTAATGGCAAACATACTCTTGCTAGTGATAGTACTACATGTACTGTAGTCAGTACTGCTATAGGTTGTTGTTATACATGTAGGTTTTCACCCACTGTGCAAACTACTTTGGATTGCTTCAATTAGAAAAAAATGTCAAATTCCTTGTGTAAATTTGATTTATAGCTATTGTTAGTTTTATAACTATGTAATTAACAGTAAATAATAATTAGCTATACAAGAGCACATGTTATAGTGCTTTCTTTCTCTTGGTGTCAGTGAGTGGCAGTCGAGCACCACGAATCAACTCATCCTCTATTCTGTTAAGATGATCAGTGTGAGTGACAACTTGCAGAGCCTCCCATTCAGGCTATAAGAAAAAACCATGAATATCAAACATAAATTAGATCAATACACGCAGGGTCCCTACAGAATTTTGGCATAGTACTTGACTACTTGTGCAGCTTCTCTTGTCAATGGGTTGTCAGGTTACTCAAAAATTAGGCCAAAACAAAACTCATAAGGAGACTTCATTTTTATAATTCTTTCTGATACATTATACATGTCCTTATGTTGTTAAGCTGATTCCAATCAAATTTGGATTTTTTTACAAATTTTGAAGAATTGGGCCAACGACCAAAGGCTATAGCCTTGGGTCTTTGGCCAAAATTCGTCAAAAATAAAAAGGAAAGAATTCTCCATATTTATAATTTTTTTTCTGATCGCTATACATGTCCTTATGCTGTGTATCAACTTTGAGCTGATTCTGATAAAATTTGAATCTTTAATGATTTTTAAAGTTGCTCCAAATGCCAAGTCCTGTATTATAGTGCTTGGCAGCTCATTAAGGATGCACTTAGCATGCTTTGTAGGAAACCCTGTGTATATGTACCTTGAACATCTGGGATGGTTGCTGTTTCCCACCTCCCATTGCTGACTGTTGCATGTTCATTTGCATTGCCATTTGCTTCCCTTGATCAGCAGCTATGAAATCAGAGAGAGAGAGAGAGAGAGGGAGGGGGGAAGAATGAAAATCAAGACATTATGCATTATCATGCTTACAATTATCAGATCCCAAGATTAATGAGTATATGCTTCTTAATCCAAAGACATTCAGAAAATACCAGGACATTGAACTGACCCTGTCACAAACAGAAAAATGTGAGGAGTGACCTCTCCCCCTCCCTTCCTGTTACATACCATGAGGCACTCAAAGACTTCAATTCTACTCCTCTCTGCAGCATTGCTTTGAAGCGATATGTTAACGGAAAGGGAACTTTTGCTGTAAATGTTAAAAATATAAATGTGATCCATTGTTTTGTACACATAAAAACTTCCTAACAACTCTCTCTCTCTCTCTTCTCTCAAACTAACTGGCCAAGAAGCCAGAGAATGTCCAGTTAATCCAACCACCAATAGCAATCATTGGCAAGACATTAGTGAATGTACTCTTCATCATGTCAAGTGCCATGGATGGATCTGAAGAAGAAAAAATACCAATACTATAGTTCCTTTATTATTACACATTATAAAACTGCATTAAACATAAGTTTACTAGTAGCCATTTTAATGTACAAACCTCCCATAGCAGAGAGTGCATTAGGAGCACTGGGTCTCTCTTGTTTGAAATATCCAGTTTCAGAATTATTGAAGTAATGACGTCTCATGAGAAATGACTAATAAAAAATGTGTACATATATATTTATGTATATGTATACATATATATACTAGTTTTGAAAATTAAAAAAATCTACTTCTTTGTATAGGAAGTGCTAACTATTTTATTAAATTTAGATAGTAACTATCTGACCTGTTCTGGAATGTATCCAGCATTCTCTCTTAACAGACGACTCCTGATTAGAGCCTGGCTACATTTTGAAAAAAAAGAAAGACTCCACCCATTCAGAGATCTTTCCCTCACCTGTCCTTAAGGTTGTCAAGTTGGACTGGTTTCTCAGATTTCAACAATATAGTGACATAATGGCGGACGAGCCCAAACATTAAACTGATGAGGACTATAGGGATAATAACCCAAAGGCGAATAGCAGGATCAAGGAGAATTTCAGCCATTTTTATGATGGATAGCTCCTCCTTTATTATTGGAGCATATGCGCATTCGTGTTGCTACGCATCCGCATCCTGAGCTGCAGCTTTTCAAATTGCTGTCTGGCATTTGCAGCATTGATTTAGTGCCCTTTTATTTTCAAATAAAGAACTGTTGTTATTCACTTTCACTACTGAGATTACTGTTACTATTTAAGAATCATTTGTTAGTCAAACTAAGTATCCAGTCTTGTCTCTGAAACACCACCACTTGTCCAGCATAATGCTCCAATCTCTTCGAGTTTGTTTGCTGATCATTTTAATTTTGACAATTTTGCTTTGTTTTATACAGTTTAAAGTACTGGTCAATGGAAGCAGAGAAACTGTCCTTAGACACAATGGTGAGTATACACTTATCATTATCAACCAATTAATGCATTATGATTTTTAGCTACACTTGAAAATGATTTGATAAAGGGGAAGCTACAAAAATGTTTCAATTCACTCAATTTATCCAATTTTGTTAACAAAGGAAAAGCATTGGAAGATGCTATTAACATTATTAAGTTGCTCAAAACAGTTCTTCCTTCACCAGAGCAGAGCAACAATAACAGTCAAAGTATATGCTGGAATATTAGTATCAATCTAATGCTACATTCTAATGATACTCTGTTTGGGCATATCAATTCACATTGCATTCATATCAATGTCAATTTTGATCCTTCATTTTCTGATCCCAGACAATATTATGCCAAGATGTTAAAGAATGTTATCCTAAAGCATAACGGAGTGCACAAAAAAAGACTTTGTATTCCACGTGTGTTCTTGGCAGGTTTCCCTAAATCTGGATCGACATCACTTGATCGAATGTTAACATATCATCCTAAAATAGAACATGGATTCTCTAAAGAGCCAAAATGGTGGATACCCCATTACGTTCATCCAAACATTCACTCATTCCAACCGACAATAGAATATTTTG